TGCGCAGCACAGGTTGCGCCAAAGGAACAAGGGCCAGGCTTGTACGTACATGGAGAGATCCACAAGGAAAGAGTAACACGGTTCCTGGAGGAATCCAGGGCCTGGGGGGCGAAGCTGGGAGGCGGGCTTCTCCCCAGATAACTTGTTTTGGACTTCGCACCATGTAAATATATTGACTTTCAAAAGTAAAATACGCTTTATTTTTATTTATTTATTCTATTTAAATTATTTATTTTACTTTACAACATTGTATTGGTTTTGCCATGCACTGACTTGAATCCACCATGGGTATACATGTGTTCCCCATTCTGAACCCCCCTCCCAACTCCCTCCCCATCCCATCCATCTGGGTCATCCCAGTGCACCAGCCCCTAGCATCCTGTATCATGCATCGAACCTGGACGGGCGATTCGTTTCATATATAATTTACATGTTTCAATGCCCTTACCCAGGACATGGAAGCAACCTAGATGCCCATCAGGAGACGAATAGATAAGAAAGCTGTGGTACATACACACAATGGAATATTACTCAGCCATTAAAAAGAATACATTTGAATCAGTTCTAATGAGGTGGATGAAACTGGAGCCTATTATACAGAGTGAAGTAAGCCAGAAAGAAAAACACCAATACACTATACTAACGCATATTTTTAGAATTTAGAAAGATGGTAATGATAACCCTGTATGTGAGACAGCAGGACGGACACAGATGTATTGAACAGTCTTTTGGACTCTGTGGGAGAGGGCGAGGGCTGGATGATATGGGAGAATGGCATTGAAACATGTAAAATACACTTTAATAGAAGCATCCTGGGTGGAAGCATAATGAGGTTCTCTCATGGTCTCAGAACTCCGATGTTCCTGTTGATCTCAGCACCGGTGGCCCCATCCTCGCCCGCAAGCAGTCCCAGTCAAGTGAGGCAGGGTGTGAAATGATGGAGTGTCAAGTGTCGAGATGGAGAGAAGGGAACTGGGACGGAAAGAATGTAACCTGCTCTGGTGCCTGGGAAGGGGAACATAGACCCTGGTGTGCTAGCAGGATAGCTCAGTCCCAAGGGAAGGAGGTGACCTGTGCAAGGAGGTAGGACAACTCTGCCTGGCCAAGGACACAACTTAAAGGCATGGGCCAGGATGGCACTGTATGGAGGAAAATGTATCCTGCGAAAAGATAAGAGCCACAGGTATACTCATGAAACTGCAACCAAGACAAGGTGGGCAGAGAGCGAGCTGGATGGCTCTTCCCTGGTGGTCCAGTGGATAAGACTCCCAATATAGGGGGCCCAGGTTCCATCCCTGGTCGGGGGACTAGATTCCCACCTGCTGCACTGAGGATGCATGTAGCCAACTAAATATGTAAAGAAGGGGAGCTAGACAGTTAGAAGGAGCGGCGGGGGGGGGGGGGGGGGGGCGGACAGGGATGAGCTCCCCAGCCGCCAGGGGGAGCATTTTGAGGCCAGCTGGAGTCTCAAAAGAGGAAAGTGCCCTCAGGACTGGGTGGGGCTGGGAGTTCTCTGCTACCTTCTGGTCTTTGCCTAGGAGTGATGGGGGCAATAACTGGGCTTGTGGGACTGGGTTTGGGAGGTGAAGGCAGAGGAGGAGACTCTGACTGGGGCAATGTTCTAATATGTTAAGGCAAGGAGCTGCCAGGGACAGAAATGAGTCCTGTGGACAGAGAAGTGACAGCAGGATCTGCCCCACATCAGGGAGAGGCGAAGGTGGGAAGGAGGCCCAGACACTCAGGGACAGGAGGCTGGAGGCTGAGTTCCGGATTTGGCTGACACTTCATGAGCCTGGAGAGGATGCAGAGACCCAACAGGGAGGATGGGGTGAGCTCTCCCCAGGGTGGAGAGGACACGTCCCCAGTTAGCACTGTGGGAGGCAGGGCCTCTTCAAGCCAGTGGTGTCCGTGTGATCTTCTCACACCTTCCCCTGACTTCTCAGTGCTATTTCTGGAGACAAAGTCTTTCAAATCTATTTTCCTGACATGTAAACTTGGTAGGCATGTCCTTACAGACCTGGCTTTTGTGTTTAGTGTTAGGTCCCTCATTCTGCAGCTTTTTTCCCCACCATCATTTTGCTCTGAAGTTTCATTAATCTGATGCTTTCTCCTGAGGGGAGAGAGGTACTTTTATTTCACAGGTGTGTGGCTTAGGTTAAAATATCATCCGGTCAACAGAGGGCATCCTCCTGGAGCAGGATTTTATATCAAGATTGTCAGGAAAAATATCTATGTTAAGATAAAAATGACATATGTTAGTACATAGTAAACATTTGAAATATTTGAGGTTTTCGAGATAACTTGGACAGGTGTCCTGTTCCCTCCACGGTAACTGGTACCACAGAGCCCCACTTAGATAACACTGAGGTGCCTCCCTTCGGCTCACCCTCCCTGGTGCCAAGCCCTGGGAGCCTGGCACATCATCTACCCAATCTCTATTAACTTCCCTGACCAACTTAGTTCAGGTCTTAGGACCAGGTCACTGCCTCCCACTGGAATCTTTCTCATTCCAGTCTCTTCCTGACACTGATGCTGTTTTTCTTATTGACTCTTATTTACTCTTTAAAAATGTTTCATGGGACTTCCCTGTGGTCCAGTAGCTAGGACTCTGCGCTAGCAATGCAGGGGGCCCGGGTTCAATCCCTGGTCAGGGAACTAGATTCCCATATACCCCAACTAAGAGTTCACAAGATGCAACTAAGGATCCCTCATGCTACAATGAAGATGGAAGATCCTGAGAGCTGCAATTAAGACCTGGCACAGTCAAATAAATATATTTTAAAAAGTTACATAACCCAGACTTCCCTGGTAGTCCAGGAGTTGAGTCTCCACTTCCACTTCAGGGGGTGTGGGTTTGATTCCTGGTCAAGGAACCCCACATGCCTGCAAGCTGTGCAATGTGCCCCTCCTCCAAAATGCTGAATAACCCACCACCACTTAAGAGTATGAAAAATGAAAATGTGAGTTGCTCAGTCATGTCTGACTCCTTGTGACCCCATGGACTGTAGCACACCAGGCTCCTCTGTCCATGGATTTCTTCAGGCAAGAATACTAGAGTGGGTTGCTATTCCTTTCTTCAGGGAATCTTCCCAACTTAGGGATCGAAGTCAGGTCGCCTGCATTCCGGGCAGATTCTTTACTGTCTGAGCCACATATAACTCATGCCTACTTCTCTACCTGAAGTGCTCACCACTTCCAGAACCCCACGGTTACACACTTCTCTCATCCTTTGAGGACTTTATACTCCCTTCCCCCTGCCTGGAATGTTCTTTCCACATGCCTCACACACTAACCTGGAGACTCTTCCTTTAAGACTCTATTCTAGCATTCTCTCACTTTTTCTGGAAAGTCGCCTAACTTCTCCCATACCCATGTGCTTCTGAGTTTGCCATGAAGGGACCTGTGCATACCTGTCCAGGAGATTATAAGCCTGGGGCAGGGTGGGAGAGGGAAGGGGGTGGGAGGAGGGCAGAGCCTGAGGTTATTACTGGAACCCAGTGCTTGCACAATACACTTATTAGCTGAGGTTGAAATATAATCCAAGTCCCTTCTGGGAGCCAGAACACTGAAATGTAACTCAGTGTTACATCAGGTCAAAATCTAAATTAACATGGTTTATCAATGAACAGCAGTAAAACTCTGAAACTCTCCAACTTCAATGCATGTGTGAAGGACTTCCCTGGCAGTCTAGTGGTTAAGACTCCACATTCCTGGGAATTTGGGGGAGAATAGATACATGTGTATGTATGGCTGAGTTCCTTCACTGTTCAACTGAAACTGTCACATGGTTCATCAGCTATACAGCAATACAAAAGTTAAAAAAAAAAAAAAGACTCTACCCTCCCAGGAATTAGGGGGAGAATGGATACCTGTATCTGTATGGCTGAGTCCTGCTGCTGCTCACCTGAAACTGTCACAACATTGTTAATTTGTATAGCTGTATACACCAATACAAAAGGAAACCTTTAAAAAAAAAAAAAAAAAGACTCTGAGCTCCCAGTGCAGCAGGCACGGGTTCAATCATTGGTTGGGGAAATAAGATCCCAGTGCTGAAAGATGCAGCTGAGGGGAAGAAAAAAGATGCATGGATGAGAAATTCCACTACTTCATCAATGTATTGGATTTTAAGAACTCAGTCCTATTTAATCTAGCCTAGGATACAGGATAAAAGAAAAATGATAGAACTTTAGTTTTACTTTCTACATGCCAACATTCTAATTAATACAGACTTTAATCAGATAAAGTCTGACCCAAGCATATTAACTGTTTCTGTCCGTGGTTAAATCAGAGGAAAACTTGAATTAATTTTGAATATATATGATCAAAACTAAATATTCAGGAAATCAGTCCTGAATGTTCATTGTAAGGACTGATGCTGAAGCTGAAACTCCAATACTTTGGCCACCTGATGCAAAGAACTGACTCACTGGAAAAGACCCTGATGCTGAGAAAGATTGAAGGTGGGAGGAGAAGGGGATGACAGGATAAGATGGTTGGATGGCATCACCGACTCAATGGACATGAGTTTGAATAGGCTCCGGGAGTTGGTGATGGACAGGGAGGCCTGGCGTGCTGTGGTCCATGGGATTGCAAAGAGCAGGACACAAATGAGCAATTGAACTGAAGATTCACTTAATGTGGTCTTATCTGTTTATGATCTCAAAAGGTTTTCTTCTCCCAAAATAAAAGTTTTAAGATAAATTCAAGATTCCTCTGAATGAGAAAAATATATATACCTTCTAAAACAGTGAGCTTACAAAACAATGTAGTGGATTGCTAGGCATACTCTGTGTAACAGAAAAGTACGTTCACCAAGAAGGAAATCTGAAACATGACCATAAACCTTTATGGAAAATTATAACAAAGACTTTACTTCATTTATTTTTAGTGATTTCATAAATACCAGACGAGAAACTGGACGGTTTGCGAGGAAACTGGGAAAAACTTTTCCATAGAGTAAACTTAGAAATTCCCTTTTGGCTCTGTTTTCCGATCCCCCTTCACTGTGTTGTGGAGAGATTGAGTTCTTCCAGGTTTTTGGCTAGGGGCGTGGTCTCCAGATCAACTGGGCTCTCCAGGTAGGCGGTTCCTGCACAGCGCTTTCCGGTCACTGGATCTACGACTTGTCCAACTTTGAAAACGATCTCAGCCAGTTCGTGCTTCACGTGCTTTGTTCTCGGGACAGGGAGCGCTTTGAGAAGCACAATATCCCCAACGGTGCACTGCTGGAGAGCATCATGGGCAAAGTAGGTTTTTCGCTTATTAAAATACTGTTGAGAGAAGGAGGAAACACATCAGTAGTTCCCATTCATGACCTGGCAAGGTAGTAGACAGCCTGAAAAAGGAATGTCCAGAAAACAAGCTGGGACTTGGGGAAAAGAAACAGGTAATATACTTATGGAATCCACCTTCCAAATCCACCCTGATGCTGGGAAAGACTGAAGGCAAAAGGAGAAGAGGGCAGCAGAGGAAAAGGTGGTTAGACTGCATCACTGACTCAATGGACATGAATTTGAGCAAATTCCGCAAGATAGTGGAGGACAGGGAAGACAGGTGGGCTGCAGTCCATGGGATCGCAAAGAGTTGGACATGACTTAGAGTCCGAACAAAACATATTTATGGAGGCTTCCAACACAAAAATTAGCTGCTTAGTTTCTGGAAAACAACAATGACTTTTCCAGAGCTGATCTTGTCCCTGAGTTCTCTAGTCCACTGCCTGCAGTATCCTTGCTCTAAATTATCATCCTTTTCTACACTATTTAAACTTCCTGGGATTTCCCTGGTGATCTAGTGGTTAAGAATCCACCTTCCAATGTAGAAGATGGGGGTTCATTCCCTGGTCAGGGAACTAGGATTCCACATAGTTGCCTCGGGGCAACTATGCCTGAGTATCACAACTACTGAGCTCCAGTGTTGCAACAAGAGAAGCTAGAGAGCCTCAACAAAGACCCAAAATATAAATAAATAAACAAACTCTTCCTTCCTGGTAGAGTCTTCTCTCCAGCCAAAAAACACCCAAAGTTATCAAGAGAACAAAACGTTATAATGTATGTAAAGCACTTAGCTCCATGCCTCGCTCAAAGTACTGCAAACAAGCCACAGACGAGAACCAGAACCATCTCTTCCTCCAGACAACCCGGCTACAGCAGGTAGTTCCATTTAAGAGATAAGAAAAACAAGCTCAGAGAGGTTAAGTAAGGTGCAGAGCCAGCAAACAACAGCCAAGGGACTTCTCTGGTGGTACAGTGGTTAAGAATTCTCCTTCCAACGCAGAGGGCATGGGTTTGATTCCTGGTCGGGAAAACTAAGACCCCATGTGCCATGGGGCAATTAAGCCCGCATGTCCCAACTCCAGAGCCGACCTGGTCTGGAGCCCGAGTGCCACAACTAGCGAGAAACCCACGTAATGCAACTATTAGTAAAACTCAATGCAGCCAAAAATAAACAAACATACATTAAAAAATAACAAAAAACAGCCAGTACCCAAACTAAGGTCTTCTGATGCTAAGACCAATGAACATGTTGTCACTCTTCAGCTTGCTCCTGTGGTTTTATTTTTGTTTTTGCTTTGGGATCAAGCCATTTTATGGGGCGGCTTTGAAGCAGTCAATGGGCTGGGAGGATGATGAGACTGGCTGTTCTTCTCCTGACTGGGATCTACCCAGCTTCACAAGATCCTGTAAGGACCCTGAAAAGGCCCCTTTATTTTTAATCCCAGATAACAAACAGCACTTGGGCCTACCAGGGTGCCTAACCTTGCATGCAGAAACATTCCTGGCACTTGCCCCTCCCTAGCACAACTATGTAATCAAGGACTCTGTCCCTTTCTGCCTGAAATCTACCTTTTCCACTCCATCCTCACTGCTCCACAGACTGTTCGGTCCTTTACCAGTTCCACCCTAGACTTTTGCAATAGCCTCCTCACCTATTTCCTTACCTCCTGTCTCCTTTTCTCATGAAGTGAAGTCGCTCAGTCATGTCTGACTCTTTGCGACCCCATGGACTGTAGCCTACCAGGCTCCTCTGTCCATGGGATTTTTCCAGGCAAGAGTACTGGAATGGGTTGTTGCCACTGTCTTCTCCAGAGGATCTTCCCAACCCAGGGATCGAACCCAGGTATCCTGCATTGCAGGCAGACGCTTTACCGTCTGAGCCACCAGGGAAGCCTTTTCTCATAGGCTGAAATCAAAACTATGACAGAGCAGACTCTTCCCACTCCGATTCCAATCATTCTCACATTCATTCAAAGACAAGACCTACTTAGTGCCAAGCTCTGAGATCAACCTTGCCAAAGCATTCGCTGCTCCAGTACAGTGTCATGCCTTTTCATGTGTAAGAAATTAATAAACAGAAACTTCAATTAAACAGAGTCAAGGGACTTCCCCAGTGATCTTGAGGTTAAGAATCCACTTGCCAGGGCAGGGGAGATGGGCTCAATCTCTGGTTGGGGAACTAAGATTCCACATGCTGCAGGGCAACTAAGCCAGTGCATCACAACTGTTGAGCCCACGCACAGCAATGAAGACACAGCGTGGTCAAAAATAAATAAGTTACTAAAACACAAAAACAAAAAACTCAGAATTGGGAGACCAGAAGGGGAAGCTCTCATACCCTGTCATGACAGCAGAGCTTAACAGGAAGAAAGATCTCCTTCTCTTCTTTCCCAGCAACAATTCAGCAGACGAAACGCCATGGACTCTCTGTTTACCGTCCCCTCCCAACTTCTGTCCCCTCTGTAAAAGCATGCTCCTCTCTGGTCACCTCCACTTTTGTGGGAGACCTGCACGTGGCTCATCATGGTTACAGACCCCAATCTGCAATTCTCTGCCGATTCCAAATAAACCTGTTTTTGCTGCATAAATAACTGGCAGTGTATTTGTTTTAGGTGAATACATGGCTAAAGGAACTTTCACAAACTATTCACCATGGCTGGAATGACTTCCCCCACTCCTGCCCCCAACCTGGTCTTCTGGCTAAAATCTTTTTTTTTTGGCTGCACTGCATGGCATGTAGGGTCTTAATTCCTGATTGAACCCCGATTGGAAGGCGGAGTCTTGACACTGGACCGCCAAGGAAGTTCCTGGATAAAATCCTTTTGGAGATTCAGCTTGATCTTATATAACCAAGAATGCTCTTGGGACTTCCCTGGCGGTCTAGTGATGAGGACTTTGTGCTTCCACTGCAGGGGGCACGGGTTCAGTCCTTAGTTGGGGAATGAAGACCCCACATGTGGTCTGGAATGGCCAGGAAAAAAAAAAAAAACCTCTCCTTCAGCAGGCAGGAAAGGAAGAATGAGTCTTACCTTCTGCTTCCGCAGTACTCTACACATAGAATGTCTATAGCAGTGTCATCAGACTGAATTGAAATGAACTCTGTGCAGTCTCTAAAATGTGAGTGTGAACCAGGAATCATCCGTTGTGTTACACCCACTGACCAGCACAATGCTTGATGTTCAGCATTGGCTCAGCCCACATTCCCTGACAGTGTTTCTGCTCAGAACCCTGAATGTGTTAGTGATCCATCAATGCCATCTGCAAAAAGCGATGTTCCTTACCTTTAATAAATAGGGATCCAGAACAAGTCTGGTCACTCTCACTTTAGCAGTTTTTTGCATGGCTGTCCCAATCACCTTACCCACGACCCATTTGGCATGGACGGATGAACGAACTACGGACATGATGTGGCTTTGGTCACCTGAAAATAAATTCCAAAGTTTAGTCTGACGATTGTGACTCACCAAAAGAATTGTCACTAGAACCGCCCAAGTGCAGAAACAGCTTTTGTTGGCCTTCTGGAATCATCACTTCATAGAGGTCCTTACACATTTCACTATTGTAGTTTTAACCTCAAGCCTCAGTTTCCCCCTCTACCAAATGGGAATAACAACTGGGCTTACTCACAGAAGTGCTTCGAGGATTTAACCCATAAGGCGCTCAACAGCGCGAATAAACGCTGGCATTCGCTGGCGTCCCTATTTCTTTCCATCCCGCTGGGCTGCCTCTCCCTAAAGGCTCAGAGCCCGGCTACTTGGGGCGTGCGAGGCTGAGGCGGGCGGCCCGGGAGTTCACCCCACCGGAGACCTTGACTTGGCATTCTTTTCGAGATCAATTAATACTGAGTCCATGTCGCCCAGCCAGGGGAAGGTTTGCGGTGATTGCTCCCTTCGCCCCTAAAACCCGAGGTCATGTAAGTCGACTCGACTCGCCTAAAGGGCTCCCACGCTGCGGCAATTCGGGACCCGCAAACAACCCACTTCTGCGACGGCGCGCGGCCAGCGGTCACCTCAGAACTCCACAGTTTCGGCGTACGCCGGCAGAGCGCCGAGCGGAGCGTGATGCCGTCACGTCGTACGCAGGTCGCTCCGCCCCAGACCGCCCACTCATTGGCTGCGAGTCCTCTCAGTCGTGGGCGGGGTTAAAAACAGGGCTCCACCCTGTCTTTTAATTGCAGCCGCGGGCTGTGGCTCCGCTGAAGACCTTGATGTCTGCTTTTTGCACCCGTACCTAGTCCGGTGCGTGGGGGACTTGGCCTTTACTTTACCTATTCCATAGTTTCTCTCTGCTTTTGTTGAGCTCCCAGACATTGGACAAGGCCTTCCAAATAAAAGGAGCTTCATTCATCAAACATTGAAACATTGGAGGCTGCCAAACGCGGAGACTGAAATGCTTTAGCATTTCCACCCCCAGCAGTTGCATTTAAGATAAACTTATGTAGATCTTTATGTCTGGTATGACTTTAGGTGTTAATTCTCAATATTGTGAGATGGAGAGAAGTCTGATGTGGGTACATATATATGTGTGCCAGTTAGGAACATCTTAGATGGGCCATGAGCAGGCTACTGCTGCTGCCTTCTCAGATAGAAGAAAGTCTGGGAATATACCAGGCTTTTGTTAGGTAATTGCTAGACTAGGAGAGACCTAATGGATAGTTAATATATATATATATATATATATATATATATATATATATATATATATATAGCGATCGTGGCCTTAGATTGAAGTGTGTTTTCAGATAAAGAATTAAGGCCAAGGGCACACTTAGCACATAGATTTAAAAGGAGGGATGGTGATGGGGAGAGTGTGAGATATCTGAAATTTCAGAAATGGGAGCTGATTTTCAATAAAAGTGGTAATTATTTTATATGCAGCGTTGCAGGAGGATTCTTTACCCACTGAACCATCAGGGAAACCCTATAACTTTATGTAGCTTGTTTCATATAAACGAAAACTTTTCCAAGATATTTCCCTCTAGCTATGAAATTAAATCCCTTTCTTTTACAAGCAAGCTTAAACCTCTCTTGCTAATGACACCAATAACATACCCAAAGTGATTTTTTAAAATGCAAATCAAACCAGTTCACACCATCAAAGGTAGAATAAACATCTGTTGATTTTTTCCCAACCCTCTACTTTCCCTCAACTTTCCCTCTTCTAATTTAGGTTTGTGTTGGTGGTGGGACTGTGAATGAACCGGTAATAGCTCACCAGGCAAAAAAAACAGGTTTATTCACAAATGCACTCAAGAGCAAAAGGAGAGACTTGAAAAACTAGATGTAGGGGATATATATACCAAAACTAGAAATGGGGGATTGAGATCAGGAGAAGGGGGCAACAGAGGATGAGATGGTTGGATGGCATCACCAACTCAACGGACATGAATTTGAGCAAGCAAACTCCGGAAGACAGTGAAAGACACAAAGTTTGACATGCTGCAGTCCATGGGGTCGCAAAGGGTTGGATACGACTTAGCGACTGAACAACATATACTAACTTAACAGGGGAAAGGAAGGAGGGAGAAAGGGCCTCTGGGAAAACAAATGGACTTTTAGACAAGGCAGATGGGCTTTTATGAGAACCACAGAAAGTTCAACATTTTGTGATAGTGTTTGTTTAGGCAATTTCTCATCCTGGTGTCAGTGGTTGGTTGATCTCCTTCCTAGTTGGAATCTCCCCTGAGAGGAGATTAACAACAGCTTCACTCTTAGAAAGCTCTGCCTGTAGTCAGATAAGCAACACTCTGAACAGGTTTTTTGTCTCTATTTCCCTGCATCTGCTGTATCTTCAATGTCCTCAGTTTAAGAGAATCTTTGTACCATTTTGGTGGATTTGATAGAGTCCCATCACCCCTTAGTGTCCTGTCTTTTGGGGTGAGAGCACTTTGTGAATTCCTGTGTCTGCACCTGTTAGGATTCACAAGGGGCTCATAGCGTATAATTAAAATATGGCCCATTGTGGTGACCTGACAAATAAGGGATGAAGTCACAGTGGCCACATTGCCCTGGTGGGCATCCTGTTTTTTCCTTAAGGTGATACCCTGTTTTCCCCTGCTGGTGCCAGTTTCTCAAGACTACGTGACCACCCAACCATGAGACCCCCTTCACTACTTGAGCACAAGACCCCAGCTGTGGGCTAAAGATAAACTGAGGTCCCGTCCCTGAAGGGCACAATTTCCCATTGATAGGGTATAAGAAGGGTTGGCTCTAAGGGGAGAGTACTGGCTTCTCTCTAAAGCCAGTCTTTCTTCCTATAATAAAACTTCCTCTGCCTGAATGCCCAGCTTGCTATCTTTTTCTCCACGTTCGCCTTACATTTCTGGTGCGGAAACCTGGGAGGGAAGACCCAATGCGACTAGGTGCGCTCCTCTCCAGAGATTCCCTCTCTTGGACCTCGCCGAGAAACTGGGACGAGCCCCCGGGACGGGACTCTTCACTTACCTTGCTGGATTGACATCCACACACCGGCTCTCATTTCATCGCCTGCAGGGGTGAGTGAATTCCTTCTCGCTCGGATCCTTTTTCTCTCGTCTGGATTTTGAAACCCTAGCGCTAGGCGGAGGATCCCACGGCCCTTGGGCTCTGGTCTCACTTTGAAATAGGGGATGCCCATTTCATGGGAGACCCTGTCGCTGTCTGAGAAGGCCGTGAGAACGGGGACGCCTTTTCTTTTGGACCCTTCTCCTCCTTTTTTTCATTCGCCCTTGTTTGCCCTCCCTCCCTATTCGACTATAATGGGAAATTCTCAGTCCCAACCTACCCCTTTTAGCCTGCCTTCTCCAAAATATAAAGAATCTTGGGTTTTCAAGGAGAAAGAAGGCCAAGTGACTCACTTATTACTCTCATACTGTACGGCGACTGGATAATAGGGCCCAGTGGTGAGAATACAGAACTCTCGATGACACTGCTCTACGGGACCTCGATAACTTCTGCTGCCGCAGTGGCAGTGGTCAGAGATCCCTTACATTCAGGCTTTCTTTGCTCTCTGCTCTCGGCCCTTCTCTGTACTTCCTCTCCTACTTCCCAAATACTTTTAGCCCATTCTGGGCCACATCCCCCCAGTACTTTGTCTCCTGATCCCTGTTTGGATTTTTCCTCTTCTTTTGACCCTTCTGACCACAGTGCACCTCCAGTAGCCTCTAATCCTATCTTAGCAGACCCGGTCCCACAACCTCCACCTTACATTCCCCTGGCTCCTCTCCCCTGTCAGGCGCAGGCCGCCTCTGCTTCTGACCCTCCCCCCAGGGCTGTTTCGGAAAGGGGCTCTGGGGCTTCGGCTCAACCCCCTACTCCGGAGTCTCAAGTCCCTATCCCGACCTTCCTAAATCCCCTCCTTTTACCCAGCTGCAAACGGCCTTAAAGAGACAGGACCCCGAATCCCTCCCAACTCCCCTCCTTCCCTTATGAGAGGTGGGTGGTACAGAAGGCATTGTTTGGGTGCACGTCCCATTCTCCCTCTCCAATTTGTCTCAAATCGAAAAACGTCTTGGCTCTTTTTCCTCTGACCCTGACACTTATTTAAAAGAATTTAAATACCTCACCCAGTCTTATGACTTGACCGGGCATGATATTTACATTATACTCTTCTCTACCCTCCTCCCAGAAGAAAAAGAACAAGTCTGGCAAGTCACTCAGGCTCATACCCATGAAATACATCAGACTGATGATTCTAAGCCTGTAGGCTCAGCTGCCGTTCCCAGGGATGACCCTAATTGGGACTACCAGGCAGGTGTCCTGGGCGAACAGCTGGTAATCACATGGTGACTTGCCTTATTGCAGGCCTCCAAAAAGCAGGACATAAAGCTGTTAACTTTGATAAACTCAGAAATAATTCAAGGGCCATATGAAAATCCAGCACAATTTCTAGCTAGATTAACAGAAGCCCTACAAAAATATACAAAATTAGATCCAATTTCAATAGAAGGTACTATTGTCCTTAATACTCGTTTTATTTCCCAGTAGTCCTCAGACATTTGAAAGAAGCTAAAAAAGGCAGAGGAAGTCCCTCATACCTCTCAATGAGATCTTTTAAATTTGGCTTTAAAAAATTTTTCAATAACCAGAAAGAACAGGCAAAACCAGAAAAGGCCCAGAGAGATCAGGCTAAATATCATCTCTTAGCCACTGCCCTACACGGCTCCAAACCTTAATCCTCTGACAGAGAAAAGAAATCATCTAGGTCCCGTTACAAGTGTGATAAAGAGGGGCACTAGGCTGGCTCATGCCTAAAGCCCAGGCCCCCTCCGGGTCCATGTCCTAATTGTGGCATAAAGGGACACTGGAACGTAGACAGACCTAATCCCCCTCTAGGGATCTAGACATTTCCCCCTGGTCCTGAGCAGGAGTCCTGGGACCCACCTCTGCCCAGACTCCTCGGACTGGCTGCTGAGGACTGAAGGTGC